TGCTGGGAATTATTTGATAAACGTGCCTCTGATATCGAACTGTAGTCCAGTAAACAGTTTATGGCTTATATGTCAGAAATGTATGTTACATTCTGCTTTGACAATTGTTGAATATAAGCTGAAGAAAAAGAAAAAAGAAAGAAAAAGGAACAAATCGCTGCTAAATAAGTACATTGTAAATGGACTGGAACTCTGTGTGGTAAACAGCTATAAAAATTATCTAAAGATTAATTGAGCATACTTTATCTGTTCATAAGATCTCAATTCATATCATTGATCAGTCTGATTATTTATAAACCCTTTTTATCACTACATTTTTAGTTGAAAAGTTTTAAAATGTGGCATTTAGCAGGTTGATTATAGTCGAAAGTGCGTTCTTCGTTGCAACAGTTACCATCTGTTTTCATAAAAGAAAGTACTAAAATTACGAAGAGATCAGGGGCAAAAAAAAAAAGTTTAAATTTTAATTTTTGTATAGATCAAAAACTTACCAAAGGTATAGGTCATTTGTAGACTGTAAGTTTAAGGACTGCAAGGTGTAATAAAAACCGAGAATAGACTAGTTTTTCTAAAAAGTTGATTACTAGGAATTAAAAAGTTGACATATGTTTCTCAAGTTTTCACTGCAAGCATTTCAGCCTTTTTTTTGTTCTTGATAAACACTCAATTTGAAGTTTAAAAAACCGTTCTAAATAAGCGATCTATTTCAGTATTATCCTAGTTTTAAAGTAGTCTTTAACGGACAGTTCTAATTAATAGCAATAAGTCCTGATAAATTCGCTAAGCAATTCGGGAATATTTCAGAAGATTCAATAAGTGCAGGTGCAAGTGAAGCAGAATGCAAAGTGGTGGACACCACTCTTTGCTTACTCCGTCATTAGCTGATGAACAAAAAGTGCCCGGCAACGTGCAGTTTCTGCAGCGATGCTCATAATTAAAGAAACTTTTGATTTATAGATTAACTGTAATTAGAAGAAAATAACTGGTGTAGTTTGAACTAACTGTAGTCACCGTTATCAGGTTATCACACTTGTAAACACGGACTTGAAAGGAGAACGGTTGAAAGAAAAAGCCGCCAACTTTAAGAAGTTTGTAGTTGAAAGTAAGTTTTTAGAATTGGCCCAAAGAGGACATTTTTTTCAACTTAGAAAGGTGTGAGTTTAGCCACCACAGTATTCGCATGTTTTCTAACTTCACCAAATTTTTTCTCGCTTAAAAATAATATTATAATCGACAAACAACGATCAAAAAAAATTTTTTTAGCAATATTTTTTTACGATTTTGCTCAATGTTCATCACGTTTTCAAGATACACCAATTAGAATTTTGCACCATCTCGAACATCTGCAATCTTTAGATGCATCGCCATACCAAATCTACCTTTTATTTTGCTTGATCTCCCCTCTGTTTTTCGAATAACGTGGTCTCAAAATTCGTCAACATTACAGGCTATTTACTTGTTCAGCAACTTGAACACTTACGGGAACTCAAGCATTAAATGAAATCCAAACTTTTCGCTTATCACACTTAACGCTTTTGTACTTCGTCTTTAATTTTTACAGTGTAACTCACACATGCTTATGGCACCGCAAAAACTTAGTTTTTCTGTTTTATGGATTATTTTTTGCAAAGAAAAAGTTTTTCGTATTTTTGTTGCTAACAGTTCCTTTGTCAGTTAACTTTTATCATCGTTTATTTCTTCTAGATCATCAGTTTAATTCGCAGTTCAGATCTGTAAGAGGTTATGCAATTGTTCTTTTTTAGTTTTTAGGTTCTTGTTGTGCTATATTGAGGATGTGTTGCTCATATTTTTAGTTTTGGGATAATACCACTTAATGGCATTTAAAAAAGTCATTTTTGGAGAAAATCAACAAACTTGTCTTCCGCAGTAATGCAGTTTGACTCAGTCACGTTTTAGTGGGTGTTTATTTTTTGAAGTTTTTTAGTTTTTTTTCACTCTTTCAGTTCTTCGCTTATGACAGGTTTCTTTTTTACACATGTGTACTTTGTTGTACAACGTTTTTTTTTAGTAAAGCTAAAATTTTATTTGTAGAAGAAACAGACGAAGCTGATTTTATTATGTTACACTTTTATTTACAAAGAATGGGTATTGTTCGTACAAGGAGTGTTGAAGATCTAATGAGATCTTTGTAAAGTGTTATATGTTTTTCTTTTAAACTTTTTTGAATCTCGAATGTTGGTCGACTTGAGATTCATTACTTTTAACTTAATTTTAGCTCTATTCTAGGTGGTTTTTCCGGGAGGGGGAGAGTCTGAAAGAATTTCTTTCATTGCGGTCGTTGGATGACTTGTAACAGTTTGGCAATACCACTGAGTGGTTACTAATTTATGTAAGCATTTCCTTTGCCAGTATAGTACTTTCCTTCTCCTCCACCTAGGTACGGTTGCGGTCGTCTCGCTACAAAGGAAGGTCCAGCACTTCGTGCAAAATTACCAGGGCCAAGAACGGGTCCATAGGACATTTGTGTAGTAGAGCCATAGTAAATATTACCAGGGAAAGGTCCCATTCCTCCAAACATGCTCGGTGTTCCTGGATAGTAGCTGGGCGCCCCGTGATAGAGCGGAAATGAATGAGCTATAAAGACAATCAATGATTTATGCTGTTTTTTTTTGAAAAACTCATTAGCCAAAGTTAATTTACTTTCAACGGCAATATAATTTTGATGTTGGAAATATTTTTTTTTTGAGACATTAATGGACCAGGCATTTATGATTTTGTTATCGGATTACTTATTAATGCAAAAGATTACAACGGATTGGGGAAAGGTTGGGGAAAATTCTAAGTTAAGAGTCTACAAACAGTGTGTTTTTCTTCTTTGTTTTCAAAGAACATTTAGCTATAATCACTGTATATCGTCAGTAAAGAAATTTCATAGAAATAAAATTATAGTTTGGTTCTGTTTTAGTAAAGTAAAATTTAGCTACCTCCAGCGTCAAGGACACGTGGTGGAGAGTCCCATCGATTACCAAAACCAAAATATGGTGTATCACCCGTAAGCTCCTTTAAACCAGCGATTCCACCAACTGCATGAATCGGTTTATAACAGATAAGTAGGACTAGAAAATAAAAAAATACTCCTGAAAAAAAAAAAAGAAAACATGAAGCATTTTGGAGTTCTGTTTTTGTTAATTTCATTTTTGCCTAAAGAGTATACATTGAATTTGCAATTGTAAAATTGTCATTTTCAAACTGAATGAATATTTTGTGGAAACA